ACTGGCAGATGACTGAAAGTCAATGCAGAATGTTAGAATGGGAACATGGGTAAGAAGCAAAGAGCCATTCCTATGAACCAGAGCCCATAAAAAGAAAGAGACTAGGCCTTAAAATCTGTATTCTTATTGGTATATTGGTACTAGAGAAGGAATACTATAACCCAGACACATTATATCTTGGATAAGTTTAATTATTATTGTGTTCAACTCTAAAGCATACACCTCAATTATTCCATCCTTATTACTCCTTGACTGGATGCATCTAAAGACAGATCTCAAACAAATGGTAGAAAATTATTACAACTGGCTGATGACTATAACTAAAAAGGACCTAAAAAAATCACCCATCCAAAATATTTTAGGAAGAATTCTTGGATTGTAAACAGGGGGTGGTATGGGGTACATATTCAGGGAGTCTTCTTAATTTCTTTCTGTGGAATAAGTATGTAATATCACATTGTTGTTGGTGTCTCTTTAAAGCTTGCTTTAGAAGCATATCTTCCATTTTAAATATAGAAAGTCCATTTCTCTGCTACATTACACTAATTAATACATTTGATATTATAAAATAACATATGTTTTAATATGTTTGCTAAAACACCTATATGAAATGTCATCAATAAGCAGTACTGTCTTTTGGAATGAGATTATACTTGAGAAATCCCTTGGACAGAGGCAAAAGAATCATGTATTATATACCATTATATCTAATGTAGATGTTACAGATGCAAAGAAGAATGAGTTCACAATCTATTGGTAGTAGCAAGAAATTGGGAATTCAGGTTATTCAACAGATGAAAGTTTCTTGAGTGAAGGAATGGAAATTAGTGATCCTAAAATCAAACATCTAAGTGAGATTAAAATACCATCCTGATGAAAAGATTTACCTTGCTCTTGGATAGGCAGAATTAATATTCTCAAAATGACCACACGACCAAAAGCACCATACAGATTTAATGCAATTCCAATCAAAATCCCAATGACATTCCTCATAGAAATAGAAAAAGCAATCAAGAAATTCATCTGGAAAAATAAGAGAACCAGAATAGCTAAAGCATCCTTAGCAAGAAGAATGAAGCAGGTGACATCACTATACCAGACCTTAAAATATATTACATTTTGGGAGCAAATTTTAGCACACACACATCAGATGGAGCACTAACCTCTAAGATATATAAAGATCTCAAAAATTTTAACACCAAAAAACCAAATAAGCCAATCAATAAGTGGGTCAAGGAACTGAACAGACACTTCTCAAAAGATGATATACAATCAATCAAAAATTTATGAAAAAAATGTTCAACATCTCTAGCAATAGAGAAATGCCAATCAAAACTACTCTAAGATTTCATCTTACTCCAGTCAGAATGGCAGCTATTAAGAACAAAAACAACAATAAGTGTTGGTGAGGATGTATGGATAAGGGCACACTCATACATTGCTGGTGGGACTACAAATTGGTGAAACCAACCTGGAAAGTAGTATGGGGATTCCTTGGAAAATGGTGAATGGAAACTCATTTGACCCAGCTCTCCCACTCCCCAGGTTATACTCAAAGGACTTAATAACAGCATACTATAGGAACACAGCCACATCAATGTTTATAGCAGCACAATTCACAAGAGCTAAATTGTGGATCCAACTCAGATGCCCTTCAGTAGATAAATGGATAAAGAAAATATGGAATATGTACACGATGGAATACTACACAGCATTAAAAGAGAATGAAATCATGGCATTTGCAGGTAAATGGATAGAAGGAAAACAAATGCCAATGTCTTTTCTGATATAAGGATGCTTATTCATAATGGGGATGGGAGGAGGGAAACACGGGAGGAATAAATGAACTTCAGATAGGGTAAAGGGGAGGGAGGGTAAGGGAGGGAGAATGGGGGTAGGAAAGATGGTGGAATGAGATGTACATCATTATCTCAAATACATGTATAAAAACACAAATGGTGTGAATCTACTTCATGTTCAACAAGAAACATGAAAAATTGGTTTGACTTGTATAATATGAATTGAATTGCATTCTGCAGGTGTATATAACAAATTAGAATAAATAAAATTTAAAATTTTTTAAAATACCATTCTGATGACTCAAACTTCTATTCTAAACTTTTATCTTACCCTAATAAACATCAGTTGCTTACTTTTACTTCTTAACTCAGATTCTTTAGTCATTTCTAATATACAGTCATGAAAAGAACTGGTATAGAAATGAAGTTCATCAAAAGCTGATCTTCTGATATTATGGACCAAGGTAGCTTCTCAGTTAATGGCAATTCAGTATTTCAATTGTTCTTGCTAAAATCCAGGGTGTCCTCCTTTAATCCTTTCCAGCTTTTACACTCTACATATAGACTCTGTAAATACGGTGGACCCATAACTTCAATATTCACTCACCACCTTAACCTTAGTCATTATCATTTTTAACCCAAATTATTGAAAGAAAGGCTTTATTGTTTTCCCCAATCCTGTTCATACCCACCATGTTCCATTGAAAGTGCTTCCTCATTGTTGCCTATAAATTAAATGAGACTTACTTAGAACGTAAATACTGAAAAGAACATAGAGAGGATTAAAAACTTATTTAATGACTAATTGAGAGATTGTGGTGGTACAAAGTAAAATGAAGAATGTAATGGATACCTAAATGTGGGTTTAGCACATATTTGTAAAGAGAGAATGAAGATGAGTATTTTGAAAGTAGTTTAGAAAGTCTGGGATGAAGATGAAGATAGACACATGGATGCCATATGATATCCCTTCAGATATTCAGATGAAATCAAGAAATATACAGATTTCTACAGTCCCTGATCTTGGATTCATATCTCTCAAGACCAGGATTTGAATAATTTGATGATCCCCTGCTTAATTTCCTGGGTACAAACTCCATAAACAATGGGGTTGAGGGCTGGTAGGATGAGGTGATGCAGGACATTGAGAAGAATAGGTACCTCTGAGGGTATCTTCTTTCCTGCCTTGTTTGTGAAGATGAAGACCAGCAGCAGTGTATAGAAGAAAAGTATAAGAATGAGATGTGAACCACAAGTACTCAAAGCCTTGGTGGTGGCACCTCCCGACTGCAAGCTTGTAACAGCCCTCAAAATGAAGCAGTAAGACA